GGAATATATATTTTTGCCCTGTCATGAGCTAATGAATTGCAACTTTAAGTGACATTTAAAATCCCACTTTAATCATCAGGTTTAGTTTATTGTGTTGTGTATTTTTAGCACTGACATATATGATTTATTGTCCAGATATTCAGAAGCAACTACTTTCATTTGTCTCCCATTCCACTTTTTTTGTTCTTGGTCATTTTCCTGTAAATGTTTTGGAAATGTCTGAAAATAGGTTTGTCTCCACTCGTTCTCTTTTTTTTATTTCTCTCTCTCTTTTGTGTCACTAGCTATGTTTACATGCGCAAAATTCTTTGATCGGATTGAAATGTATTCAGATTAAATAATGTGCAGTTGCTAACACCCCCCTCCCCCCCCGCCAAAAAACAAAAACATAGAAATGAGTTTTACTTTCGTCATGGACGTAAACAAACAGCTTCTGAGCTCAGAATGGACCTGCGACCGGTTTTAATAATGGTTGAGAAGTGACATTACTCCCTGGTTAAGCTACAGGTGACGGACGGATTTTTTATTTTAATTTTTTTTTTTTTGTGAAGCGTCGCAGGCTGTTTGTCTTCTTCTTTATTGAATGAGAAAACGGGAGGAAAAGTTTTGTGCTGCTGGAAACAGCGCTGCTGTTCCTCCCTCCACAAAAGAGCAGAAACTGCTGGGTGAAAGTCAGCAGACATACGCTGTCAGGTCAGTTTACCACAATCAGAACAAGATGATCATATTGTTTACATGCACGCTGTTCAGATCATCAATTGGCATAAACCACCTCTTTCATTCCAATTACAAATTCATTGGATCGAGCTGAATCGGGTCAGAATAGTCTGAATGGTGTGTTTACAAGACTAATTTTTATTCCGAATGTCCTTTTTAATCCAATTACTTATGTCCATGTAAACATAGCTACTTTGTGTCCACAGTGTTTTGTTTGAATGTCTCCAGATAAGTTTTCTCCCAGATGACTGTAATAAGAAGAACTTCTAGTTTGATACAGTGCCACAGTATTGAATTTGAATGTTCTTTGTCTCAATTCATTGGGCCTCATGCAAGAACCGTTCGTACGCACAGATTTGTTCTTAAGTTGTGCATACGAGTGATTTAGGAGAATTTGTGGCATTCACCAATGTTTTCGTATTCTAAGATTTTTTTTCAAATACGAACAAAATTCACGAGTGGTCCAGACCTGTCGTATATTTTACGAGCAGTCAGTCTGCTGTTATCCAGACGGGTTTTCTTCACTAATAACTTTATATTACGTTAGTTTGAAGATATTTTGAGTTGAAAATAAATCACACTCCATAATTATGTTGACAATAGGCTGTTCTGCTTGAATTAGAGTTATAATTTTAAATGTAATAATTTAGACTAGCAATATAAATTGTCCGTTCGTCCGTTTTCCGCCGCTTATCTGGGATCAGGTCTCGGTGGCAGCAGGAGACCCCGCACTCTCCAGCGACACCTTCCAGCTCGTCCTGGGGGACTCCGAGACGTTCCCAGGCCAGAGGGGATATATGATCAAGTCCTGGATTTTCTCCAAAGTGCCAGACTTATTTTGAAAACATTTTAAAATGTTTATGTCAAACCCGCATCTGAGATCACCTGCTACCACGCGGCGCGCGGGGGGTGGGGGTACGGTGCGCAGCGCTGTGTCTGCTGAATAAATGAAAATGATTTAACATAGTTGTTTATACCTTTAGCAGCTCTTTTTATTCCACAGCTGACCTGCTAAAAATGACAGATTTTCTTTTCTGGATCTCTGACAGACGGACTTCAATCTCTGAACTCGTAAAGTTTTTATTTTTTTAGTTTTCGCTGTCATTTTCATGAATGGACAATTCCTTGTATCTGAGGCAGGAAACATAGCCTTATATGGTGTTTTTGGGGTGGTAATTATGCTAATCTCCTCTCACGTGCACGAGCAGCTGGATACGAATTTACGCAGCTCATTTACACACTTTTCCTGAAGATAGAAGAGTTTGTTGAATCTGACGTGACATGTTCGTACGAACCGTTCATACGAACAAAAGTAAGAGAAATTTAGGATAAGAATACGAACATGTTCTTGCATGAGGCCCATTGTCTTTAGCAGCAATTTCCATATTATATTTTATTGCCTAATTTGGTCAAAAGGTTTTTTTTTTAGTTTCCATCTTTCATCTAAACAGCTGAATTTGATCACTTTTTTTGCCATAACTCCAATAAGAGAGATGTTTTCATTCACACACCCATACTGATAATCTGAATTAGCCATGTCCCATGTTTTATTGTGTTTTTTTACTTTGTTTTGTTGTTTTCTCTATGCACAGCAATTGCTCTGAAATATGGGGACTGAGTACACCAAATACGATAGAACAGTGGGATACATCAGGCCTATACAGCTACCCTGACCAAACCAGGTGACTATCCTTATTACTATAAACTGTTGCTTTCAACTTTTCTGTGGGAGACCTGTCATTACAATGTTGGAGGTGACAGATGTAGGCATGTTTGTTTCGTCATGACAGTACACTCTTAGTTGACCATATTATGTGTCGTGACACCCCACCTCCCCTGTGCTTTTTTAATATTTTGTCCCATGGCTGTCTCACGATCGTCACATCTTTACCGTTCAATCAGATCACTAGATGGCCGCCTGCAAGTGTCCCACAGGAAGGGGCTTCCCCATGTCATCTACTGCCGCTTGTGGCGATGGCCGGACCTTCACAGCCACCACGAGCTGCGCGCCATCGAAGCCTGCGAGTACGCCTTCCATCTCAAGAAGGACGAGGTCTGCATCAACCCCTACCACTACCAGAGGGTGGAGACTCCAGGTGAGGAGAAGCTGACCCGTGAATGTTTACACAGATTGAAATGCATGTATAAGTGATAACTGTATGATTAGTTAAACCTTTGAAGATTTGCTCATTTCTCAGTATTTTGTTTCACTTCTGTTTGCTCCTATGTCTTTGTCACTATTTTAAGTTGGCAATGTGCAATGTTGCTGAAGAAATTTATAGTTAGGGCTTGAACACGTATTTCCTTACATTGCCATGTGTTGTTGGTGTTCAAATGTGACACAGCACAGCATTTATAATATAAACTTAAAAAGGGTTAGCACCACCTTGCATGTCAAAATACATTGAATAAAAAAAGATAAAAAATTTATGCTTTATTACTTGAATTTTTTTTTTTACCATTTGACTGCTCAGATAAACATTAGCACATTAGGCATAAAGATTAGTCAATAATTTGATAAGAAAGACATAATTTTAACAGCAACTGATGTCTGTTTAAGGCATGAGAAAGTGTAATAATAATCTTTTGGTAAGGTGATAGGAAATCAYAAAACTCACCTTAAAAGGTGCTTAAACTAGACCTTGTTATTTATTTATCTGTAAAGGGCTATTGTCCACATTGTCTTTCCATTAAATGTAAAAACCACCCTGATTCCTGCATACCTCTGTCAGAGTGTTGTTGCTGCTGGTTACAGGCTTGTGTTTGTGTTGCTCTACGATGCTCTGAATGAAACCTGAAAGTCAGTTTGAGTTCAACAACTTGTCCTTTGATCCCAATGTTTTTGTTAATTAGAGTAGAATAGAATAGAAAAAGCCTTTATTGTCACGTACTGGGAAATTCAGGTGTAGTAGCTGCAGCAGCAGGTACATGCATCAACCCACAGAAACAGTATATTGCTATGTGACATTATCAATTGTAGCAATAATAGTAGAAATTAAAGACAGTAATAGTAAAAAATAAACAGATCAAAATAAAAGTAAGAATAACCCTTACTGTAACGGGCTATCAAGATGAAATTGAATAAAATGGAAATAAGGCAAGATACTGTGCAGAAAAATATAAATTACAGGAAAAAACAGTCATGACAGACTCATGATCCGAGGGGGTGTGCAAATTGAGTTGAACTCAGTCATTAAGACCAGTACAGAAAAAAACGATGTACAATTGTCATAGGGTATTATTTATGTAATGATTGAGAGGTAGAGTTATTTGATGTACAAACACCAACATGGATACTGTCTTCTAGAAGTTTTTTTCTTTCAATCTAAATCAGTTTAAAGATTGGAGAGTTTTTAACACTCGAGGTATAAAAACATCCATGATCCTTTTTTAATAGACCTACATGGAAATGTTCGTAAAAYGGGATTTATTTTGTAGCATAAAGATGTAAACACAGACGATCCAGGCTGTTTCCTCTGACTTCTAGCTCTCTGTTTGATCTTTCTTTTAACTCTGTGCTCCATATATAGTTTGATTCAGGATGCTTGATATCTGTAGAGAATAATAGTTCATTAATAAAATGCATCAGACTGTTGTTCATTTTAGGGGTGTAAATCACCAGCTTTATCACGATACAATATTACATCGATATGCCTGGATGGCGATTCAATATTTCTCAATATCACAAAGTCTGTCACAATATGATTTCGATTCAGTTCAATTCACATGTCTGCGATCGATAAAATGCGATATCATCTGCCCATCTAACACAGTGACTGTTGTGACTGCGTATGATGACAATATAGATCGATATTTTTATTTTGCTACATTATAACTGAAGCATGAAAAATTCTAATTGATATATCAATATAGAACGATGTATCGTTACACCCCTAGTTCATTCCAAATTTTTATTTAGTTTTTGTTTTACAACATTAATTATATTGTACATGTGTAAAACCCATTCTTTGCTCTTAATGTCCTACTTTCACTGGCACAGAATTAAAGCTTGGTAGGGAGGTGAGTAAATATTTGGTTGGTAAATACAAACATAACCCATTGAAAATCAACAGTTTTTACCTAAACTTAGTTGTGTTGTAGCTATAACAGCTACTGTGAATAGGTAGGTGTACATGTGGCATGCAGGTGGAAAGCTTAGATTTAGTTTTGTAATTTATTGAAGAACAGTTTTCTTTTAAGAACACCACAGGGTTACAACTCTAGTGTGTTTCAGTACTGTAAGGGCAGCGTAGCTGACGGGGTTATCTTTGTAACCTTCACATTTGCAAAGTTGTAACTTTTATTTCCCCCTGAAGAAGAAAATCTCAGCTTTCACTTCATAAGGATCCCAAACAGCGTTTTGTTTACTTTGGGCATGGAGAGCTGTTTTAGTGCTGTGTTCTTGATTTGAAAGGAGTTGAGATGATCTGGGTTGGGAATTGTTAATGACTTTGCTTTTTGAATCCATTAAATAGTTTAAACCTTCAGTTTAATGTTCACTTGGGACTTTTCATAATGTACTAGCAGCCTTCTTTTTCCTATAGAGATGAAACTGGTTTGAAAACGATTGGTTGTTTTCCAAATGACAAGTCATATATTGTGCAAAACTGAAAAGTTTTAAACTGACGTGTGTTTTCTCTTGAACTTTCTCCCCTCCACTGTAGTGCTGCCTCCTGTTCTTGTGCCAAGACACTCAGAAATCCTCCCAGAGCTGCCACCTCTGGATGACTACAATCATTCCATACCTGAGAACACAAACTTCCCTGCAGGAATTGAACCTCCGAACAACTACATACCAGGTGGGAGCATCTGTTATACTAATACTGCGTTGTGCTAATCTGCAAACTGGAATTTAAAAGTGAATGAAAAGCTTTTCTAATTTCTGCATGTTGCTTTTGATTTTCTCTTGAGTTGTGGTGGATTTAATGAAAGAGAGATTCGCTTAAAGTTTTTAATTCRTCCCTGGCATTAATTCCACAGAGACTCCTCCACCGGGCTACATCAGTGAGGATGGAGAGGCCAGTGATCAACAGATGAATCAAAGCATGGACACAGGTGTGTGGCTCTGCCTGACCCTTCCTGATATGAGTTATTTGTTTAAAAGAGGTAAAAATCTATTCAATTAAACTAGTGTTGAAGCCAGTCCTAGATCAAGTTATTTAATTTTCATTTAGTTTAAAAATGTTTCCCTAATAGTTTTGAAACTTCTTTAATATTAGTGTGTAGCTGCTGGTTGATGACAGTGTTTTAATGAAAATTTAAAAAAAGCTTAAATTCAAACCATCAAATTGCTAGTTATTCATCCAGACTCATTTACCTTTTAGTTTATTTCTGCTGAGGCCTCTATTATAAATTCACCAATGGCGTTGCAGATTTAACTGCTTTGTTAAAGACCAGACGGTGTTGATTAAATTAAATTGTTTAGTGAAAGTTTGTTTGTTGGGATATCTGCATCAGCACATCAGTTTGTGCGTCTCTTACTTTTTAAAAGCAAAGCTTAGTTTTAGAGTATCACTTTGGTTTTAATAGACACTATGATTGGGTTCTTCATAAGACTTTGCTGTAAACTCTCCTTTTGTTGTTGTTTTTGTTAGGTTCTCCAGCAGAGCTCTCCCCCAGCACTCTGTCTCCTGTCAATCACAGCATGGGTAAGAAGTCAAATTCAAAACCTGTTCAGCATTATGTTACAAAAAGATGATGCGCACAGAACAGTAGGACAGTTGTGTGTTTTGTGTGGATATAAAATGTAGTACAGTGCTGCGTGCTGATGTGGTCTTGTACTGCAGATCTGCAGCCGGTGACGTACTCCGAGCCAGCCTTCTGGTGCTCTATAGCGTACTACGAGCTCAACCAGCGCGTCGGGGAGACGTTCCACGCCTCTCAGCCCTCGCTAACGGTGGATGGGTTCACAGATCCATCGAACTCAGAGCGGTTTTGTCTGGGCCTGCTGTCAAACGTGAACAGGAACGCCACTGTGGAGGTGACTCGAAGGCACATAGGTAAGGCCCAATGGCTGGTTGCTTTGAACACAAATTTATATTTATGTTGTAAAGTGTAAAACTGGGTTCTGCCCATCTGTTGACAGGACGGGGAGTCAGACTTTACTATATCGGAGGGGAGGTGTTTGCTGAGTGCTTGAGTGATAGCGCTATCTTTGTCCAGAGTCCAAACTGCAACCAGCGGTATGGCTGGCATCCAGCAACAGTGTGTAAAATTCCTCCAGGTAAGAGGCTGAAAACAYTGTCAAAGTCAAAGAAAGGTGTTGACAGGTCAGCTATTGGGCACAAAGGACTGCCTTTTTTAATGCAAAATACCTGTCATACCCTTGGTTTAAATTAGACTCAAAGTTGATAACGTGTTTCTGAGGGGAGAAAGCTTTTTGCACTGGAGTTYGTTTGTTGCAATAGCTTTTAGCTTTTATGTCATTTCAAACTACTTACAGTGTGTCTGAACGGTGACAGAATATCTTTTTAAGACAAAAGATTTTAAAAAGAAGAAGAAATGTTCTTGAAGATTCAAATGACTGAACAGCCACCCACAGGAAGTGTGAGCAGTAATTAGCCAGAGGTGTGCCGTGTCAGAGCATCATTAACAAAAGGCTAAATGCTGGTCTTTGTGTGCTGCTGTCTGTTTACAGAATCACTTGTCAAACCAACACTCCTGTTCAGCTTTATCTGTTTTTTTTTTTTTTTTTCAGGTTGTAATTTAAAAATCTTCAACAATCAAGAATTTGCTGCCCTACTGGCGCAGTCAGTCAACCAGGGCTTTGAGGCAGTCTACCAGCTCACCAGGATGTGCACCATCCGGATGAGCTTTGTCAAAGGCTGGGGAGCTGAGTATAGGTGAGAACTGACTCATGTATTATCACCCACTGTAAAAAATATACAGAGATGTGAAGCTATAAATTCATATTAAATGGGTGGGTTGAAACATATATTTTATTAGAATTATTAGCTCAGAAAATAATTCATAGAAGTTACAACCACAGCCTGTGAAGACCCCTAAATGAGCTGACAAGAATTGTCTGTGACTACGAGTGCAGCTCATGTCTAGACCACTGGTCCCCAGTCTGCAGCTTTACAACCAAGCAGGAAAATGTGTGGAATTTAGAGAATAGATAGAAGTTTTGAATCATTAAAAGATGCATTGTTGGACCCAGGTGGGCCCAACATGCTGTTTGACTTGGTGTAGTGGATATACCAGTAGGAAATGACCAGCAGCACCTTTGAGACTTAAAGGGAGCCATGATTAGTTGTAACATTAGACTTTATTTTATAAACCTTTATTTTATTTTAACTGTAAAACAAAGACTGTAATAATACTGTAGGCTGTTATTTTTTATCATTTTTAAACTAAATTTTAAAAAATACATTACACAGACTGAGCCATTTTATTTACACACAAAGCATTCTGGGTAAATGATGACGTGGATAGGTCCTTTGTGTGAGCGAGCTATATCCACCCTGAAGGTTAATCTTGGACAATATCTGATGATCGACTCTTTTAAATGAAACCAGAGAGCGTTGACAGGAGTTTTATATAGAACAGTTGGAGTGCTCAGAAACCAGGTGACCATGTGATCGGCTGGTGAAGCTAACGGCTAAGGCAAAATGG